ATAAGTGCTGAATATTCATCTATTATATTATTATTATGAATTTCAGCTTTTAGCAGTGTAAACTTCTGTCCTCATTGGCTTGATATATTTGGCCCCTAATTCTGCTGTTTCTGAAATTGGGAGAATGTCAAACTCTGTTCCTTTTAATCACCTACCCTCTAGATTTAATACTGTGCTTTAAAACATCAAAGTTCATTCTTTTGTGTATAAAATACAACATTGGTTTCTACTTTATTTTCATTTGATTATTTATTTTTATGTGTATGAGTGTGTTCCCTACTTGTATGTAAGTGCACCACATGAGTGCAATGTCCATGGAGGTCAGAAGAGGGCATTCACTAGAATTGGAGTTACAGCTGGTTATTAGCCACCATGTGGATGCTGGGAACGAAGCCTGGTCCTCCACCAGAGCAGCCAGTGCTTTTAACCACTGAGCCCTCTCTCCAGTTCCTTATTTTCTTTTTTGAATATTTTCCTCTTAAAGGAGAATTAAGTCCAATGATTTGTATTATTAATGACATCTCTTAGGCTTCAATTCTATCATGCTATTTTTGTTGAAATGACTGTTTTATTTTTATTATATTTTGACACTGGCTATTGGAATTTTTTTTAGTCTGGAATTGATTTAGAGTGATTCCTTCTCATTTCTCCATGTCATTCTTTATTTGTGTAGTTTCTTAAGTTTTCCTTCAGTTTTGCACATCCTCACATGTTGTTTGCAGTGATGGTTCTGTTATAATGTGATGTTCATGATTCTACTAACAATTAGATGTTTACAGGGTTTTCCTCTGTCCCTCGTAATGCTCAAAGTATTTAAGTTGTTGACATTATTCCTTGTTCACTTTTTTATTGATGTATATTCATTTTGCATAGTATTGGGCTCCCTAAGGACATTTTAATACACTATATAATGCACTTTGACCATTTGTTTAATCCTTAATTTTGTGTTTTCTCTGGAAGTTTTTATGTGGTAATATTTAGATTCAGGCAGCTAACATTGTCCTCCAGACCTGGAAGTTCTGGTATCATAATTTCAGTGAATTATAGCCATGCTAGGTGTAGCTAAAATTCCTTCTGGGTGATGTAAACAATGTCACCCCTCCCACCCCCCACCCCCTTTGGTCCCTAAGACAAAAGGAGGCTTGTTTTCCTAAAACTACAGTCTCAGAAGCCAGTGAGTTTATTGGGCTTACTTACAGAGCAATGGGTGAGGATTTACTTACAGAAGTGTGGGTGCTCCTTCCCCTTCACAAGGCCACACTGGAAAGTCTCTATCCAGGAGTGAATGGTGACTTCCCCACAGCCCCACAAAAGGATGATAGACCCTCTCTGTGGGGCTTCTGCAGCTTATGTACCCTTAGCCCTACCGCCTCATGCAACTAGGGAGTACAAGTTGGTTGGGGGTGTGGCTTACTCTCTCTGCCCCTCCTTTCTTACGGAGTATAACAGTCAACAAGTATAGCTGTGACCATCTTAGGCAAGCAGGGCAACCAAGCACAGTCCTATGCAACACTAGACTTTGATATAATCAAAAGTTCTCTGTGATCTCTTTCTTATATGCTGTTCTAAATCTTTCACTATTAGCTGGAAATTTTTGCAAACATCACACTGACTGCATAAAACAAAATTGATCTCTTTTAAGCTTTTTGAAAGTTGACTCAGAAATAAATGGTTGTGACACAAAATTTTACAATTGTAATTGCATGAGTGTTTAAAAAATCACTGGGAACCATGTACTTCTAATAGGTGTACAGTCTGCTTTCAAATGTTCAACCATATGGTTATTTCTACCATGGTCTCAACCTGGATGATGGCAAAGTAGACCCATGCATCCCTCAGAAGGATATGTTCCATGATGGATTGTACTACACACCTGTAAGCAACGCCGGGGATGGGGATATCTCTAATATCATCAGGGTAAGGTCTCAATAAAACAGCCTGTAAAATTTCTCATTTCAATTTTAACTTTAGTGTTCATGATACATATGTTTCTTGGTTTCTATAAATTTCTAACAGTACTTGTAAAAAGGAGATATTAATTTTGTTAACTTTTTTCTTTCTTAATGAAAAGTTCTGTGGGTAAAATCATGAAGCCTCAGATCAAAAGTAATAGGATAGTATTAAATTTATTGCAGTATATCTTATGCAGAAATAGTCAGATGCAAAGCTAAACTATAGTCTATATGCCACGTAAACCTAGGCTATCAACTGCATATGCTGAAGGTCCATGCAAGGAACTTGAAGTGCCAATCATGGTGACATATGCCTTTAATCCCAGCACTCAGGAGGCAGAAGCAGGGAGGTCCTCTGTGAGACTGAGGCCAGCCTGGTCTCCATAACAAGTTCCAGGTTGGCAGGGGCTACAGGGAAACCCTGTCTTGAAAAACTACTACTACTACTACTACTACTACTACTACTACTACTACTAATAATAATAATAATAATAAATCATAGCTGAATAAGGGCAGAGCATTGAATCTGACAGACTTTAGTTCAAGTCTCAGCTCTTTTATTTAATGTGTATACATTGTGTGTGTGTGTGTGTGTGTGCCTATTTGTGCATGTGTGGATGAATGTTTGATGCTAATTAAGTAAAAATAGTTCTGATTTTGTATTTTCCCTTAAGAAATAGTGGAAAAATAGCATATTAACACAATAATAATAATGATTATTGTTTTTCTTCTAAATTAGGAATTTTTCTATAAGTCAAATAAAGGTGACTTAACTTCAATGATCCCAAACCCTTGTTAATCCAGAAAATATGTATATTTATTATGACTATAGACCTTTTATAGTTCTTTCATGAAAGTAATGTACAATTTTTTTGTTTGTTTCTTTGTAAGGACATAGGTCTGAAAGCCTTTACTAATCTCTACTACCGGAAACCAGAAGTGTGTTTACTGGAACACCTGCCCTTAATGAGGTTCGCTCTCCCAGAAGGACAGATGTCATTGTACAGTGCTCTGGATGCAGCTGCCTGTGGGTAATCCAGAATTTTGTGTTGGAGTGATATTTTGTATTGGGTGTATTTGAGATAAGACCTTGCAAAACTGGAGTTTATATATAAATTATGGTTTTTTGCTAACAAGTGGAATTCCTACAGTTCAATAAAGTAAAACAAGACTGGCTAGAGGTATTTTTGGTTATAAAAAATAATTAGGAGGCTGGAGAGATAGCTCAGCAGTTAAGAGTACTGGCTGCTTTTGCAGAGGATCTGGGCTCAGTTTCCAGTATCCACATGGTGGCTAATAACTCCATATCTCCAGTTCTAGGAGACACAACACCCTCTCTGGCCTCTATGAGCATTGTATGAACATGGTGCACTTGCATATATTACAGGAAAAATACTCATGCACAGAAAAAATATAAACAACTAAATATCTTAAAAAAGGATAATTAGGGGCACAAATTGCTATTGCAGAGGACCCCAATTCAGCTCCCAGTGCCCAGGACAAACAGATCACAACTACCTATAACCCCCACTCTAGGAGATCTGATGCCCTCTTCTGACCTTTGTGCTGGGCATGGTGGAGCACTCCTTTAATCTCAGGACTTGGGAGGCAGAGGCAGGTGGATCTCTGTGAGACTGAGGCCAGCCTGGACTACATAGCAAGTTCCAGGCCAGCTACGGCTAAATAGAGACTCTACCTCAAAAAACAAAATAATAATAATAATAATAATTTTGGGTTTGAAGCACTGTAAAAACAAAAACAAAAAAATATATATATATATATGAAAGTTTGACTCTTAAGACAGGGTCTCACTATGTAGTTCAGGCTCACCTTGAAATTACAATTCTCTTTGCTCCTGCCTCAGCATCCCAAGTTCTGGGATTAAAGGCAGGCACCACCACATCTGGTAAAAGGGATAATTTTTAAAGACCTGGCAACAGTGCATTACATTCAAATATACACAAATGAATAGAACTGACCTCCATTTCTCAAGGACTTGGTATGCCCTGCTGGAGGAAGTCACATTTATTCTGAGATGGTAAGATGAGTGGTAATACATCACAACAAGAGTTAGTAAGACATTCCAAGTAAAGGGGGAAGCACTCTAAAAAATTAGTTTCAAAACCACAGCCCTTCAGAACCTCAGAGGTATGGTTCAAAACATGAGTAAAGTTACCTAAAGCAAGAAAGATGGGCCGACTGATCATGAAAACCCTAGCACAACATTTAAAAACTTTGAAATCTACTCTATTATAATAATATACTACTAATGAGCTTTTGTTATTTTTTTAACATTTATTTATTTACTTTGTATGTGTATGTGTGTTTATGTATACATGAGTAGGCATGTGCTTGCCATGACATGTGTGTGGAGGCCAGAGGACAAATTGTGGGAATTGGTTCTCTCATTCCACTATGTGGTTTCTAAGGATTAAACTCTGGTTGTGTCTTTACCTTCTGAGCATTCTCATGGGATCCTTAATGAGCTTTAAGCAGACAATCTGTTGGCAGACAATTTGTGGCTTTTTATTTGTTTGTTTGTTTGTTTGTTTGTTTGGTCTTTTTGAGACAGGGTCTCCCTGTAGCCCCAGCTGACCTAGCACTTGTTATGTAGACCAGGCTGGCCTGGATCTCACTGAGATCCGCCTGCCTCTACCTCCTGAGTGCTGGGACTAAAGGCATGTGCCACCACACCCAGCTGACAATTTGTATTTTTAAATGGTATTTCCGGTTGCCTTGTGCAAAGGGTTTAGGGATTTAGACTGCTTAAGACTGTACAAAGCAAAATAAATGACGGTCAGAAGACTGGCTTGGACCATTCTAAAAAGCCAATAGAAATATAGACATGTAGGAAGAGCAGTGAGCTGCTTTCAATTGTCATAGATAACATTTGTAAGTTGTAGATTTACAGGAATGCAATATGCAGGGATCAAAGACAGTCCTTGAGGCTCTCACTGAGGAAGATTTTGGCACCCTTCATGGAGCAGGAGCTACTGAAGAGAAGCAGTGGAAATCTATAAGGGGTTTGCTTTGAGAACAGTTACTTTTGAAATATCTGCAGAGCATCTACAAGAAAGGTACACAAGGATGCACAAGTCTGGGGCTCAAGAGTGGAGCCCAGTTGGAAAACCGAGGAAATGGCGTCAGGAGTATTACTGCCGCTGCAGTTGTGGGGAGAGCTCAATAGGGAGACAGTATGGATGGAGAGCCTAAAACAGAGCTGTCAGGAAAGTCAGGGAGGAGGAGTCCCCATCCCTTCAAAAGAGACACGAAAACAACCAAAAGGAATAATGCAAGTCAGCAACCAGGAAGATGTGGTTTGTTTGCTGTTTGTTTGTTTTGAGACAGGGTCTCACATCGCCCAGGCTGGCCTTGAACTTGCTATGTAGTCAAGGATGACCTTGAACTTCCGATTTTTCTGCCTCTACCTCTCAAATATTGGGGTTTACAAATGTCTATCACCATGCCCAGCTCAATAGCAGCTATTCTGAAGCAGATACAGTGGTTAAGCGCATTAAATAGAGCCTAGAGGCCACACTTGTGAAGGAAAATGTTCTGGAGAATTAAAAATATCAATGCCACTAAAACTTTAGCGAAAATAATGGTTGTAGAGTTGGAAAGCACTTGCATGTCAGATGAGAGATTTGATTCAGTGAGTAGATTTAATTCCTCCAGATTTGACTGCAGGTGATTTGTTATTTTTGTGGATTTTTAATAAAAACAGAGATTAGAGTATCAAAATAGTAATATCTAGCTTTGAATATAAATTTATCATTATTAAGTGCTAGAAGCAAATTCCTATATTTACTTCATGCTAAAGCACACTAGGCATGTGTGTAGTTAAAGCTTAACTCAGGGGGCTGGAGAGATGGCTCAGCGGTCAAGAGCATTGCTGCTCTTGCAGAAGGCCGGGGTTCAATTCCCAGCACCCACATGGTGGCTAGTAACTGTATGTAACTCCAGTTCCAGGGGAATCCAATGCCCTCTTCTGACCTCCAAGGGCATTTCATGACACAGGTGCACTTATACACATGCAGACAATACAATCACATAAAATAAAAAATTAAAGTAGTTTTTAAAAAGCTTAACTCAGGGAACTGAGGAGATGGCTCTGTGGGTAAAGTGCTTGCTGTGCAAGCATGAAGACCTAAGTTTGGATCCCTAGCACACATATAAATGCCAGGTGTGGCAGTGCACCCCTGTGACCCCAGTGCGCTGGAGTAGAGACAAGTGGATCCTGGAATTTATTGGCAAATCAGTCTAGCTAAAACAGTGAGCTGCAGAGAGAGAGAAACCCTGTCTCAAAAAATAAGGTAGAGAAGCAACTGAGGATGAGACCTGACATCAATTCCTGGCCTCCACAGGAGCCCATATGGGCCAGTGTGCCTGTACGTGTACACACACACACATACACACACAACCAGAGCTGTACCAGTGTGCCTGTACGTACACACACACACACACACACACACACACACACACACACACACCAGAGCTGTGCCAGTGTGCCTGTATGTATACATACACACACACACGTCAGAGCTTAATTCAGGCCGGTAGCATTGAAGCACATATTTTTCTTTCTCTACATAAAGCATTCCTCTCTTTCTGTCTCCCTCTTTTGTTTTAGTTGATGGTGTAGACAGTACCAAAACTGTCAACCACGCAGAACAGGCCATCAAGGAGACTATCAGAACAAACTTTCCGGAGACATGGATATGGGACCTCACTGGCGTAGAGTAAGCTCTGCTTTTCTTTTACTTTCTGTTTTCTTGAACAGATTTTTCCCTTTGTGTCTTTATCTTTGTTTCTCTTTTTATTTGTTAGCTTTCTTTCCCGAATAATAAAGTAGTGCCATATTTGTAAAATGTGCCATTCATATGCACACTGACCACACATTCATCTCTTTGTTTGTTTGTTGTAACACTTTTTTATGTTTTCATGAAGGTCTCCTATAAATTTCATGTAGGTCGATATAAGCTACTTAAATTTTTAAAAAATCTGATATTTAAATAAAAGTGACCTTTCTTCAATTTTATAGAAACCTAGCCTCAGGATAAATATCAAATGCTTTATCTACATACCATCATTTTCAAACCTTACAGTTAATACATATTTGTTTTTTTTGCATAAAGTCAGGTTGCCACTTAGATGTGTTTCACCAACAGTCTGTCCTTGTAGTTCCTCAGGTTCCGCAAATCTCTCATTCCTGGTTCCTGATACTATAACTCGGTGGGAGGCCAGCGCCTTCTGTGTGAATAGCGACTCTGGGTTTGGCATTTCACCCAAAGCTTCTCTTCGAGTCTCTCAGCCCTTCTTTGTTGAAATTTCCTCACCCTTTTCTGTTGTTCGAAATGAACAATTCGATGTGATCGTCGGTGTCTTCAGCTACCTGAATACATGTGTAGAGGTAAAGTCCCTCCCTTTGATCTAGAAACAAAATTCAAGCTAAGCTATGCTTTAATTTTGCCCCTCGAATGTCACCATACTCTGTGTTTAAATGAAAACGCACAGTACAAGGAAATCACTTCTTCACTTGTTCTATATTCCTCAGCAATAGTTGCCTCAATTCACAACCGCTTGAACTTTTGACTTTGAGATGATGACGATTCTACTGTTTTATCCACATGTGACAGGGTCATTGGCTGTCTTTTATTTTGCTGAGTTAAAATGATGGAGAGTCTTCTAAAGATGACAGATGTCAACTTCTTCAAAGATGTTTAAGAAGTCATTGTGCATTAAATTGCAGAATTTCAGGCAAAGCAGCAGAGACAGAGATACATACAGATATA